AGCAATGCTGGGTAACAAAGACTTTCGAACCGATAGCCGCCCGAAAATTTTTCTTCTGTAAAGCTATACATTCAGGCTCGAATCGTTCACTGAAAATAAAGCTACAAGTGTATCAGCAGACCTACTAATGCGAAATCCCCACATGGTAATGCAGCAAGCACAAAAAGAAACAAAGAAATATCCTTAATCCTTACCATGACTCCCACGACCGTTTTTTTTTCTTCGCGCTCAGCAGCTCGCTGGCGGGGCAAATTGCCCAGTGTGCACAGACGCCGCCGACGATTCCTAGCACTTCTTGCAACACTAAAGTTTTCCTTTCGTTTTTATTTTTATTAACCCTTTTAGGTACTTTAAAAAATGTTTGTGTATTTTTAGGACACATTCAATATAAAAATAGTGTTTTTGGGACCCAAAACAACACTCATGCAAAATGTTTAACGTATCTTAGGAAATACTATTTCTGGTTTCGGTTTCGCGGTCTCGACTTTTGGCCGCGAGGGGTTTCCAGATACTCCGTCGCTCCGTCGGCTGCGATGTGCATGGCGGCGCCCAAGATGCGTATCGTCCATGCCGTGCGACGCACTTCGACCTTCTGTTACAAAGGTAAGCAGTACTTTGCTCTGAAATATGCTAATTTTGAATTTTTACAAGTTGTGGATTCCATAGCGCTGACGTATTTTACCCTGAAACGTATGAAGGTCGTGGAAAAAAAAGTACATAGTACATATGCGAAGGCTTTTTCACATGCTCTGATTCTCGCCCGAAATCGGTGCGATTTCTAGTATATGTGCGATTAAATTCGCAGTCGCACTGTCGCAGCGGCTCTGCAACTGGTTTCCACGAAGTTGGTATTTTGCCGCAGAGCCGGTGCGATCGCTTTCTCATCAATCAGCCGTTTATTAGCCAGCTTTCATCCGCGAAAATAAATGTAGGCACATAAAAGCTTCTGATTTAATGCTTCGTTATGATAAATTTCTGGTTACATATTGCATTCCTAAAACATGTATGCTTATTAAGACGTTTTTGTTGTATTTTAGACAAAGTGAAACCCGTCGCGTCCGTGTCCGAAGCGCCAGCCGCTCCGACAGAAATCGCACGGTTGTTGGAGCATGTGAAACCAAACATTGCGATCGCACTCGCTGCGTCGGCTGTCGCACCGATTTTTTTTTTTTTTCGCACAGTCGCTGCATGTGAAACTGTCTTAAGAGAGGAGTCGCATAGTAGCTCTGTGATTTCTGTGGTGTTCCGTTCCGTGCTTAGATTTGGCAGTGTTTCAGTAGTTTACTTTAGGGGCGGGCGTTCACTCTGAATTTTACATACCTGTGCACGAGGAATCGGCAGTAATTGTCGGGAGAAAGCTTCCTGTTTGGCATGGTTTAGTACATCCCTGTTTTCTGGTAGAATTTGACGTGGTGCTCTTTTCTTTTAGGCTTCGTATTCTACTGCTGCCCAAAGGAAATTCCATCGGGATCTTTCTACCAGACACGGTGTCGCAATCGTCCTTGTGTGGTTTTGATTCCAGTAAGTGGAACAGTGTCTGATGCGGGACCTAGTGATAGTGAAGTGAGTGACAGTGACGAGAAGAACTTGCCAACGAAGGGCCTAACAAGAGAACTTCCAAGCGATAACGAAACTGAAGACAGAACGCCCGCCTGTCCAGTTCTGTCAACGTCAAGAAAGAAGCAAAAGTCACCGCCGCAAGTTTTTGACTGGGGAAAAGAAGACCGGTGTTTTCTGGAACCTGCGGAACCCATGTTTACGGCCTCTGATGATGTCAAATGCCGACTGAAATATTTTAAAGTTTAATTGATGACAAGCTGCTGACGATTGTTGACGAGACAAACCTGTATTCTTTCCATCAGGCTATTGCATATAGGTAAACGTTTGTTACACTGTGCCAACATGCTTACGCAAAGTACATATTATTTGAAGTGAATCGTTGCATCGCCCCTTCAATTAAGCACCTCATAAAATCAAATGTGGTGTTTTAGCTCTGTACATCTTATTTAATTTTACAAGAAAACATGTTTTCATTCAACACCATACATATATTCGTAATGCATGCTCACCACAGGCACCCTGGTGTGCATGTCAGGCCAGTTTAGTGTGCCTTGGTGTGGACATTAAACCAGTCTGGTGTGGCGTAGTGTGCACATCAAGCCATTCTGGTGTGCTTTGTTGTGCACATCAGACCAGCCTGGTGTGTTTTGATGTGCACAACAGACCACACTAGGATGATGTGATGGGCACACCAAACCAGCCTAACGTCTTCTGGTGGGGACAACAGAACACGTTAGGCTGGTCTGATGTGCGCACCAGAACACACCAGGGCGGTCTGTTGTTTACGTCAGAAAACACTAGGACACACCAAACCGGTCTGGTGGATTTTTCAATAGGGTACTAAATACTGCTTCATTAAGTAGTTAAAATACTACTCAAGTTACTATCATTGTAAAGTATCTTGAGTAGGAGACAAATACTTAGAAATCTAATTCAATTCTTTTTGAAGTTACTTCCGCATTGCGTAATTTGAATCGACGTCAGTGACAATGACAATTATACGATTGCTGAAATCTCGTCTACCAGAATGGTACTAACGCGCAACAACACAAAAACGGCAAATAACTGAAGAAAAACGGTCACGAATAACAAATGATGAGGCGGCAAATAACTGAAGAAACTAAGCAAATGACAAATGATGTGGCGAACTTGTGCCCAAAACAAAATAGAGAAAGGCTAGCGTCGCAGGTGTCGCAGGCGTCAATGTCGGCGAAGCATCAGGATTGAGCGCTAAAACAAAATTGACAAAAAGAATATGGCTTGCTTTTGAATGTTTATACAGCCTTGATGCTGGTTTACCTCAACGGGTGACTGGCCGCTTAGCTCTAGATGAGAAATTTAGCCAGTGCAGTAGAACGACTAACCTGGGGTTTTTAACGTCCATCGCGCAGAAGTGATTACACGAGTGCATGCCGGTACAAAACTCATCCCGACTGAAATGGAAGGGAGCGGTGGGGATCAAACAAAAAAGGTTCCCAGCGCAAGCTTTCGCTACCGCCACGCGGAGCACCTTTTGTACCCGCGTGGGTTTCTGGAACATTCGGTGTAGAACGTTCCGCGCGTAGGACATTCGCAACTCGATCAGACGACAAGGTTCTCGAACTTACGAGAATGTCAAGTTGAAAGAATGAATAAAAAGAGGAGTCCGCTCCCTGGAATCAAACCTGGAGGCTCCGTGCGACAGCCAAGCGCGGTAACCATTCGGCCTTGCGCTCGCTCGGCGACGCGCTTGGCAATGTCATTGATACATGTTACAAAACATTTCTAAGACAGAAATAGAGAGGTCGCTTTAGCTAAAGTGACATCTCTGAATATCAGCCCTACCGAAAAATCCGGTATAACTTTTCGCTATCCGGATTATAAAACCGGATATCTATCTGCATTTTATCTGGACTCTATCTGGAATTGAGGTTTTCAGAAATTACTCCTTTATCTTCAATCTGGATTTCGGGTTTCCAGTAACGAATTTCCGGTTCCATAATCCGGATAGTGAAAAGTTGTACAGGATTTTTCGGTAGGGAGGTCTTGCGCCGCACGTTAGACGCATCGTTTAATTATAATTCAAATTTCCTATATGGGGAGTTCAATATAAACGATCTTGGAATACGGATATGAGTGAATGGATAGCAAAGCGAACCTACATAGTAGCCACGGCGGTGGTCGCACCCTATTCAAGTAGGTCGCGTTCAGAAAGGCACTCAGCGTTGAGGGGCGCTTTGTTGAGATATTGAGAGGGCATCCAGCTTTTAATTCGTTCCCTGTCCTGTTCTCTGCTTATCAATGTTCGCTTAAAAACAGTGTTCGCGACTGACGACGAAAAGAAAGTAAACAGAAGAAGGCCTAGACGTTTTGCCGTAGGGGGGTCAAATATACAACAAACAAAAGAAAAATGTATTTTTTTTTGTTTTATGTTCACTTCTAATTTTTTTTATTTGTTATTTTCTTGACACTTAAGTCTACATTGTTGTCGTAGGTCGTTTCCCGGTCTGCGTTGCGCCTCAGTGTGGCAATCCTAACTTTCGTAAAACCGCGCCTTTTGTTTCAGGACTTTTTGGTGGAAACTGTAGGAAACAAAAGGCGTCTTTGGGAAGGCGAAGAAAAGACATCTATTGTGCGAACTTTGGGCTGAAATGGAAGTCACAATCGGCGAAAAAGCGATGTTTTTTTCACGAGTTCAACCAAAGTCACCGTAGCTAATCGAAGCTAGTGACAGGATTCGGTTGCTCAAATGCTCGAAAGGTTTGCTCATGCCACGCCCACGCCACTTCACACCAAAAAAAAACTCGGGAAAATGGCGGAATGCTAAAAAATTATTTGAGATAATAGAGAGTTTTAGTAGACCGTTTCCATTTTGCGCTCCACTCTGAGAATGCCAAACTGCGCATGCGTGGCCTGTTTCGCCGGAATGGAAAGCGGAGGTCAAAAAACGCGTCTTACTAGACCGTTTTTTTTTTTTCAGCGTAAAGCGTTTCGATAGCGTTCGTAAAATTCGCTTGCGTAGCCTCACAAGTTGACGTTTATACCTAAGCCTTAGCAACAAGAGAGTGAAAGGGAGCGTGCTTATAGGGGTATTAAAAACGAAGGCGAGAATAATAAACACAAAAGAGTAGGCACACATCCGAAGAATATTAAGCTATAACATATTGATGCGAAGAGGAAAAAAAGGCATCTCGAGATTTGGGGACCAAGGAAGACGAAGACACGAGAGCGGCTCGCTTGATTTCCTACAAGAACTTTTATTTTTTCGGTGTCCCCTTCAATGTAAATTAAATCATCTCATAATCACCGTAACAGTTTGGTGGAGGTGAATAATTTCCCCCTACCTCTACGCCTCGCCCAACCTGGACCTTCGAAACCGCCGCCGCCCACTGCAGACCGAAATGCCCAATACCGGTACCCCACCCGAAGGTATTCCGACAACACCTACACCACCACTGATCCTCTCCCAGCCGCGAGACCCTGGAAATTTCACCGGAACCGGAGACCAAGATGTCGAGGAGTGGCTCCACCTCTATGAGCGCATCAGTACCCACAACAGATGGGACCCTACAATCATACTGGCCAACATCATTTTTTATCTGAAGGACACGGCACGAACCTGGTTCCTGACCCATAAAGAAACCATCACTTCGTGGGATATGTGTAAGGAACAACTTCAACACCTCTTTGGCGATCCTACCGGCCGGAAACTATCTTCAAAACGAAAACTTGCATCCCGCGTCCAAACCTCGACCGAGTCATACATGGCGTACGTGCAAGACATCTTGTCGCTTTGCCACAAAGCCGACGCGGGCATGGCTGACTCCGAACGAATTTCACACATCCTCAAGGGCATAGCAGATGACGCGTTTCAACTTCTTGTTTTTAAGGACTGCTCTACAGTCGAAACCCTAGTGAAGGAATGCCGGCGATTTGAGGAGGCCAAGAAGCGCCGGATAACTTCCAACTTCACCCGGCTCCCTAACACGACAGCCACTTCCACGTGTGAAAAAACTCCAACATCAGACACACAAATCGCTAAAATTGTACGTCGTGAGCTAGAAGCGATGCTTCCGCCCAATGCTTTTTCCCACTCTGCTGCAGAACTAGAACCGATTTCCATATCTACAGTTCAAGCCATGATCCGCCAAGAGATCGATAAACTTCATGTTCCAGCACCAACACGTGGAGCCTGGGCTTCCTCCAACCGCCCAGCTTATACAGCAACTAATCCCGAGGGTCAAGTTCCGCGACGAGACCCTGCAGCGTGGAGGGCACCGGACAACAAACCGATCTGCTTCCATTGCAATGCCGTTGGTCACATCGCCCGCTACTGCCGTAGCCGATGGAATAACCGACCACGCACCTTCTCTTCTCTTAGCTACCGCCGCTTCTTCGATAATCGTTTCTCCCCGCCCCCGCTCCCTGTTCATCTCCAAGACGAAGGCTTCGTATCGCGCCCCCTCTACCACCACTCCTCCTCTCCACGTCGCCGCCAGTCTCTGTCACCCGCCCCTCGTCGCCCTATTTCGCCAGCTGGCGCTCCCCGAAGCTCGGAAAACTAATTCATGCAGCTTCAAGAGGTGAAGCTGCATCACTGTCACTGCCCACAAATCCTCCAAACGACGTATGCGCCACTGTCCACAATCAATTGCCCATTACAATCGACGGTACCAGTATATTCGCCCTTATAGACACTGGAGCTGCCATATCTATGATGAGGGAAGATTTGAGACGACAGCTGCACAAACCGTTGACACCACCAGACTCCAAACTACTGATCGGTGCAGACGGCCACGTTACACGTTCCATTGGCATGTGCGCCTCCCGTATAACTTTTGGTCACCAAACGACCTTCGTCTTGTTTACGGTCATACCTAGCTGTCGCCACCCATTAATACTCGGATGGGATTTTCTTTCTGCCCACTCTGCCCTCATTGACTGCGCAAAAAGAGAAATCGAACTTGACGTCGCCGCTCCAACAGATATTCCGCAACCAGTACTTTCAAAGCTACGTTCTACGGACAGCCACCGCATTCCGCCAATAGTCGCCGTCGCAGTCAGAGTCGCATCAAACGACCCTACAGCTGATGGCGATTATATTGCATCCCCAAGAGTCGACATTTTTTTAACGAAACAAAATTGCCGTCCCCCATTCTCTTGTTTCAATCACGGCTGGCAAAACCTATCTATGGGTGGTTAATTTCAGCCAGACTACACAAGTTTTGCCCAGTGGAACTTCACTAGCCGAAACATCGTCCTTTATAACGCGAAGTGTATCTGCTATAGCCGTGGACGTGTCGCCATCTCCTCCTCGAAGTCCTCTGGCGAGTTCCCTCCTCGATAAACTCAAGAGCATGATCGACCCCACACTGAACGAGCGACAAAAACAGGATGTTCAAAATCTCCTTTACAAACACCATGACGAATTTGTTCTAGGGAGTCGCCCTCTCGGTAGGACCACCCCAACCACACACCACATCGATACAGGGACTCAACCACCCCTACATCACCGTCCTTACCGAGTCTCTGCCAGTGAACGCCACCTTATACAAACAGAAGTTGACAAGATGATGTCGCAAGATATCGTTCAACCATCCTCTAGCCCGTGGTCCTCCCCAGTTGTCCTTGTCAAAAAAAAAAAGGATGGGACGTGGCGATTCTGCATTGACTATCGTCGGCTCAACAAGATCACAAAAAGGGACGTATACCCACTGCCACGTATTGACGATACACTTGATTGTCTACATAATGCCCAGTACTTTTCTTCAATCGATCTTCGCACCGGATATTGGCAGATCAACGTCGACGAGTCAGACAGAGAAAAAACTGCGTTCATAACTCCAGACGGTCTTTACGAATTCAAAGTAATGCCATTCGGCTTATGCAATGCCCCAGCGACTTTCGAACGGATGATGGACCGACTTTTGCGAGGGCTCAAATGGACCAACCACATGCTTATGTTACTTAGATGATGTAATAATTTTCTCCACAACATTTCCATCACATCTAGAGGGACTCGATCAGGTACTCGCTCTCTTCCGAAAGGCAAACCTTCAATTGAATTCCTCCAAATGCGTGTTTGGAAGCTCTCAAATCAAAGTGCTCGGTCACCTTGTGGACAAAAACGGCATCAGACCTGACCCTGACAAAACAAAAGCTGTCCGAGAATTCCCAACACCAGCCTCACCTAAAGACGTCCGCAGTTTCCTCGGACTATGTTCGTATTTTCGTCGATTCATTTGCCAGTTTGCTCACATTGCGCGTCCTCTTACAAACCTCCTAAAGAAAAACCAATCATTTTTGTGGACTGCCGAGCAACAGGCAGCTTTCGAAGCTTTGAAGACAGCTTTGACGTCCAGCCCCATTTTAGGCCATTTTGATCAATCCGCTCCTACTGAGCTACGTACTGACGCCAGCGGCCACGGCATTGGAGCAATATTGGCCCAGCACCAACTAGGCCAAGAACGTGTCATTGCCTACGCCAGCCGCACACTTTCACCGGCTGAACAAAACTACACCATCTCTGAACGTGAGCGCCTGGCTGTAATCTGGTCCATTACGAAGTTCCGCCCCGACCTCTTCGGACGCCCATTTTCTATCGTCACAGATCACCACGCACTCTGCTGGATCTCATCAGTTAAAGATCCTGTAGGCCGCCTTGGACGCTGGGCCCTCCGTCTCCAGGAATATGACTATACGGTCATTCACAAATCAGGAAAACTGCACAAGGACGCCGACTGCCTTTCTCGGCACCCAGTAGACCCAGCGGACTCCACGCCCGTTAGTGCGACACTCCCGCTTCTTTCCATATCCGCGTTTCTTAACATCGCACGGGAACAGCGTTGTGATAGCACTCTCCAAACCATTATCAATCAGGTCACAGCCGGAACAAATCGCTCATCTTCCAGTCTCTACAGAATTAATGACGGCATCCTCTATCGCCAAAACTTTCGGCCAGACGGTGCTCCTTTACTTATCGTCATTCCTAAGCATCTTCAGACCACAGTGCTCGCCGAGCTGCATGACTCACCGTGTTCGGGCCATTTAGGTGTCATTCGAACCTATGCCCGCGTCAAACAGTGATCCTACTGGGCAAACATGTACCGCACAGTCAAACGATATGTCTCGTCCTGTGACTCCTGCCAACGTCGCAAAACACCATCTACGCGGCCCTCGGGACTACTTCAGCCTTTGGCTCCTCCTGACCACCCGTTTCATTGAGTGGGAGTAGACCTTCTCGGCCCATTTCCTGAGTCCTGCACTGGCAAACGCTGGGTTGCGGTTGCCGTAGATTATGCCACACGGTGCGCGATTACAAGGTCCTTTTTCACTGGCACTGCTGTCGACGTCGCCTATTTCCTCCTTGAAGATGTAATCCTTAAGCATGGTGCACCAAGAGAGCTCCTCTCCGACCGAGGTCGCCCCTTTATATCCAGAGTCGTCAGTGAAGTTTTACGAAACTGCTCCATTGTCTACAAACAGACAACGGCCTATCATCCCCAAACAAACGGCCTGGCTGAACGACTCAATAGAACGATCTCCGAGATGCTTTCTATGTATATATCCACCGACCACCGCAATTGGGACACTGTCCTTCCATACGTTACTTTCGCCTACAACTCCTCGCGCCACGACACCACAGGCTATTCGCCTTTCTGTCTTCTATTCGGCCGTGAACCCTCCCTCATGCTTGATTCTCTGCTTCCCTTGCAACACGACACTACGCTCACAGACCACACGCTCGACGCCATGTGTCGTGCTGAGGAGGCACGCCAATTAGCACGTTTTCGGACTCTAGATTCGCAAGAGCGGCAATGTGTTCGCTACGATCACGGGCGCAACGTCGCCGTTTACTCTCCCGGAGATTTGGTGTTGCTTTGGACACCTCAGCGTTGCATCGGCCTCGCTCAAAAGCTCCTTCCACGTTATCGCGGTCCGTACAAAATAATTCACCAAACCTGCCACGTCAATTATGTTGTCGAGCCTTACGGACCCCGCCAAAATCAACACCCTGAGCAACCACAGACTGTTCATGTCCTACGACTGAAGCCATACCACGCTCCTCAAAACGGCGAGACGCCGTTTCCCCCGGCGGGCGAGTAATGATGCGAAGAGGAAAAAAAGGCATCTCGAGATTTGGGGACCAAGGAAGACGAAGACACGAGAGCGGCTCGCTTGATTTCCTACAAGAACTCTTATTTTTTCGGTGTCCCCTTCAATGTAAATTAAATCATCTCATAATCAGCGTAACAATATAAATATAATAATTCCATCTTGTGTGCGAGTCTGCGAGTGTAGCCGAAGGTATAGGCAGGAGCATGTTGCTCTAAACGGTACTTGCACTGCACGAGCGCGCGTGCTGGCCAAGGACGCTGAAAGGCCGGCACTCGCTTTTGTATTAGCGATGTGCGCGGCCAAAAGCGTCGCTGTGGTCAGCTTTCCACGATTGGCCAAACCATGGGCATATGAGCACTGTCAGATTGTCAACGTTGACGGTGTTAGTTTCGTATTGCGATGGCTCCTAGCTTCTACTGTTCTTTCTAAACACACCATCGAACTCGTCGTCGCACCCGATGGTAAGTAGCCAGAATAACAACTGGTGACGTCACGGCGAGGCAAATCGTTGGGCAAATCCCAGTCGTGACGTCACGGAGGGAAACCATAAGAGGGCGCCACCGAAACATCTCGGCGCTAATAGCTTGTGCTCCACTCGACCTAAAAATGAAACGAATTTACGTATTCGAAATAAAAATATGAAAGAAAAACACGAAGTTTGCGCATTGTGAGTACACCCTTTTGCGAAGTGCGAGTACAGTCTTGCACAAGGCTATAGGCCTCCTGCGTTGCCCAGGAGGCGCTGCGAAAAATGACTAGTCAGGCCTTGTTTTGGGTAGTACAAACTTGAGCGACTGAAACTGCCACACATAATGAAGCGTGCCTGCTCTTGCGCGGAAAACGATACCGAGAAAAATAGAAAAAAAAAAACGAAAAACGCTAACGTTGTCGAAGCACAGGCCAAAGCTAGGACGATAAGAGCATGAACCAAAAAACGCCGTATCACGCGTGCCTAAGAAACATAAAGGGGAAGAAAAAAAAAGTGAACGCTGTTTACAACTCCCTGTAACGCCGAATTAGAGCGC